CAGCCGAAGTGACACCTCCAACAAGTTCACGTAAGAAGAAAGGAGATTTGCTATCCCCAGCTGTACTATAGAATGTATTTATATATACTTTGAAAGCATATTGTTTCGCATCTAAGCAGGAATAATCAAAACTAACTGGATTATATTCTGCCATAAATTCATACTTTTCTTTATTAATAAAATGGTATAGATTTTTGCTAAGGCTGGCGCGATGTTTTTCCTCTGCATTTGCTAAAACTTGCTCGATAGCTTCTAGTAATGATAAGCCTTTACCCATTTTACCTATTACCAGTTCCATGTCTTCCTTTTTTGCTTTCAAAGAGTGAGGCGTTTCTTCATCTCATTTTGCTTCCCAGATAAATATTCTAATACATTGCATAAAGACCCTTTTCTTCAGGAATATTATTATGCTGAACTGATTAGGCATGCAGGGGGTGATTATTAAATAGAAACTCAATCTTATGAAGTTTCTTTCCACTACATTCTATGGATAAAGCTTGCTCTTGTGATAAAATAATTTTATCAGGTGAGAGGTTATATGTTATAATAAGGTTTGGATATAATGCTGCAAAGTCCAGCCCAGTTACAGGATGTCTATTTTCGAGTTCTTTTATTGGTGAGAAGACGTAGGCTCCAGGGTATTTCTCTGTTTCCATTTGCTTACATGGAATTGTATTGGTTAAAATTCCTTCCTGCCATGCACTAGCACTTAAAAGATTGCACACTTTCATTCCTCCTGCAAAATAATGCGCATCGAATAATAATAGAAAGGCTATGCTTGCAACCTCCCTATATTTGTTAATTGCATTATGCTTTACCATTAACCGCTGACAGCTAATAGCATCGATAATACAATATTCAGCTACTTTGTGCATCTGCTCAGCTGTTGTAGTATTAGTTTCTTTTAACGCCCTTTCATAATATTTAAACATATGGTGGAAAGGCATATCTAGCTTGTTGTCAAGTTCACACTCCTCTAAGTAATATGCGAGACTACTTTTTTCAGCTTTAGAATAGAATTTCATAAAGCAGGGTCGAACATCAATAGCTACACATCCTGGGATTTTAAGATGATTTGAATGAAATGGTATATCATTAACTTTTATCGCATTATAACGATATTGCTAGTTTATAATTTTTTCGATGCTCGATGGTTTTATTGACATATGATTGAACATCTATTCAAGAACTTCCAACTTCTTAGCTTTCTCCACAATAAATGACCAGTCATATTGTGAATCATTAAAGTCTATTTGTATATCTGGGGCTAAGAGTTTCCAACACAATGCGAATGCTTTTAATAAATTGGTCTGGGATCCACATACAATTGTAATCCACTCTGGGTCTGGCGCTGTTTCAACATCAATAAGACAAATTTGTTTTAACAGTTTGGGATCATCTTTCCAATGAACTGTCATACCAATCATGAACACAACATCTTCTTCGTATTTTGCATCAGGTACTTCACCTATTCCTTGTAAACTATACGTTTCGATATCCCATGTGAGAACAAGAGTGCGGTACCGTGAAAGCGTTGAGGAAAATAATGGATCGTTATAATCATCCTCACTTATTGGGTTGTAATTATTCACAAATACTCGAAAGAGATAAGCATTTACCGATGATGTATATGAATAGTTTTTCAATACTGCCCAGCTTAAAAGAGGTAATCTTTCTTCACAGGCCACTTTGCGATAATAATACTGGCAATTTAGATCATCCGAAGCTGTATATATACCAACAGCACGGACTGCTTTTAATGCATTATACCAGTAATAGTGGTTCCATGTTCTTACACGGATATAAGGTTTCTTTTCTGTATGGTATCCTTGAAGTGAGAAAGTGCTAATATTCTCAATCTCGAACTTTGATGCGCTTCCAAGAATATTAGATAATATCTTTACTAATTTGGTCTTAAACATAGATAACGGCATCTCTTCAGATACTTTGACATCAAAGAAGGGTTTGATGCCTGTAATATTTACGACTGCTTTTTGCCCATTAATCAATGTACCGGCAATACGCAAAATATATGTGGAGACCCCTTTTACATATTCGGTATCATCACTAACTTCAGTAGGCATAAAGTGTATGGGTTGCTTATTAGATAAGTATTGTTGAAGTATAGCAGTCATCCCATTATTATGTTCTGCTACAATTTCATTACGTGATGGAACACCGGCTAAAGTCTCAGTGCCGTCGTAGCGGGCGAGGGGACCGGTTCCGGTGCGATCAGCTTGGTTGAAAATAGTTGTGGTATGCATGTTGTTAGTTCGAAAAGTTATAATAACATAAATATTTCTGAAATGTTTAATTATTTTTTTGATAGATACAAAAAATCGCGAATAAACATCATTCTTAATAGATGATACTTAGGGTATTCTTCTGCCAATATTTTTACAAAATATATTAGAAATAATATTGGCAGAAGAATACCCAATCACTAGTATGTACTTGATAAGTGGCAT